GAGGCACATTTTTCCCCCTTCCTTCTTTCATATGTTGAAGGCTAACACCTTCATATTCTCTCTATTTATATCCATAATCAAAACTTGTTTTTTAAAAACATTCACTCCAAGGTATAAATGACTGATAACAAACTCAAACGTGATCCCCCTCCCCTGAAGGGGTTCTGAATTTCAACCAAACATTTAGGATGCAAAAAGAAAACAAGACTAGGAAGACTTAGACTTGAGAGCAGGCAAGTCAGATTCCTACCTGCAGTCACACCATTTAGTCCAGCAACCAATCCAGTCCTGGTGGGGAGGAGCTGGGGAGGGAGGGAAGTGTGGAGGCAATAAGGAGACAGAGGCTTCTCACAAGGGGTGACCTTCGGCGATGAAACGGAGAGTACTCACTCAGCTGATTGCCCTGGGCCAGCTCCTAGGTAGGTGGGCACTTCACTTCTCAGCTTTGTACACCACACTCATCTCTGGTCTGGTTTTAGTTTCTAATCTCACCATTCTCTGGCAGCCTAGCACAGACCGATAACCTCTTCTTCCCAAGAGAGTATTTGTCATACTTGAGAGCTCATGTCCCTTGTATATGATAATATAATGGCATATTTATTCTTTTGTTCACATTTTGCATGCAAAATTTACTTAAGATACTTACTAAAAACAAATAACATCTCATTGATGACCCAGCAGAAGCAGTGCAGTCTGCAAGTCCCTCTCAGTCAACAGTAAGACTTCTAGAAGCTTCTGCAGTGACCTTCAGACACAGTTAACTGCTGTTATATTCTTCAGCACTTGTAATACCACTTTGAGGACCAATCTCACAGACTTGTGATAATTGTTCCTAATCTGTCTCCTTAACTAGATTATGTTTTTATTCTGTCTAACTCAGTGCCTGGTACTTATTATACAGTCAATAAATCCTGGAAGAAATAGTCTTTTACTCATTTGGTGTCAAGAAGAAACTGTGGACCATTTTTTTGGTATGTTTAAGGATCTTTTGCCCTACTGAGCAGGCTGGTCAGACACCACCAACTGTTAAGTTTTCACTTTCCCTTCTGCCACATCACATCATGAGGACTTACAGGAAGCCCAGGGATTCCGGGTGCTCCTGTCTTACCACAACTCCTTCCGCCATAACATCTTCACCTCAACATTAACAACCCCCAAGACAGCAGATCCGAGAGGGAGGCTGTGATTAGACCAGAGTCCTCCTTGCCCTTGAGGACCTCAGGACCCAGCCCATTGTGCTCATCTCCCCGGACAGCTCAGTCACCACCAGAAGTCCCAAACTCCTAGTCACCTATCATCACCTGAGCTTTTTCCACCATCTGACTCTGTCTGAGTCCTAATCTGATCCCATTTGTGCCCTTCACAAACAGCCTCTCTTTACTGTGGTTCCTAGATATAGTCAGTCATCAGCAGCCTATAATCCTCAGCCTTTTAGCTGTTAGGGAGCAACGTACAACCTTCTTGACTGGTCTGACTTTAAATTTAGGACCATAAGTCTCAAACATGTCCTCAGGACTTCCTGGTGACTCTACTAAATTTCCATAATCTATCTACTCTCTCACCTCAAAGACTAATATTTCATATCTTCTTTTGCTCCTCAAACCACCATCATTTCCTAGTCCTTCCTCACTGTCAGTTGATGATCTTGCTTCTTATTTCATTGAGGACATAAACACATTTTGAAGAGGTCTTTACCTCTCCCCCTCCATATCTACTTGCCTCTGGCTTCCCATCACTTCCCAGGCCTCCACTCGGGCACTGAATCCCATCTCTTCCTTGCCTGTACCATCAGCATCACTCTATTCCATCATCCCCATCAGAATATAAACATGATATCCTATCTCCCGCCTTTGAAATTTCTCTCTCGATTCTTCCAGCTACACTCCATTTCCCTGTTCCACTGTCTGGCAAAACTTTTGCAAAAAATTGTCTATTTTCACCATTCCCACTTCATCTTTCATTCTCTCAAGAAAGCACACAATCCAGCTTTTGTCTTCATCACTCCACTGAAACTATTATCCTCAAAGCACCTCCTCATACCACCAGGGACCACCACACAGCCAAGTCCAATGTCGATTCCCAGTCCTCGTCTGTCTTGGCCTAGCAGTTGCATATGACACAGCTGATTCTTCCTGCCTTCTTGAAACACTTCCATTTGGCTTTGGGGACACCACACTCTCCTGGTTTTCCTCGTACCTCCCGACCCACTCCTTCTCAATTTCTTTTGCTGGTTGGTTCTCTTCCTTTTCCCGACCCTCAAATATCAGAATGTCCCAAGGCTCAGTCCGTATCTCTCTTTTCTCTCCATACTTTCTCTCTTGTAGATCCTTCCATTTCTGTGGCTTTAAATATGTTGACATGTCCCAAGATTATATCGTAGCCCAACTTCCCCTCTTAGCTCCAAATTCATGCATCCAACTGTCTATTCAGCATCTCTGCTTAGATGTCTAATAGACACTTCTCAACGTAGGCTATGCAAAATACACACTCGTACTTCACACTCCCGCCAGCCCCTTGTAATCCTGGCATTCTCTAGTTTTCCCAATCTCAGTAAAATGCACTACTATTTGTCCAGTTGTTTAGGCCCCAAACCCAGAAGTTATCTTTAATTCCTCCCTTTTTTCTCACATCCTATGTCCAAACTTGTTAGCTCTACGTTTGAAATAAGTGCTGAATGTGATCACTTCTCACCATCTCCACCTGTCTCACCTGAGGGCAAGGCATCATGACCTTGCTCCCCTTGACTTCTCCAGCAGGCTCCTAACTGGTCTCCCTGCTTCCACTCTTGCCCGCAAACAGCCCACTCTCTACCCAGAAACTGTAATGATCCTTAAAAATATAAGACCAGCCACTCACCTGCTAAAACGCCTCCAATTGTGATGGCTTCTCATCACAATTAGAATAATAGGCAAATTCTACTTTGGCCTAAAAGACCCACATTACTTTGACCTTGTCTAGCTCTCCAACGTCTTTTTGAACCTGTCTTCACCCTCATCCTCTGTAGTTCAGCCACAACGGCCTCCTTGCTCTGCCTTGAACAGATCAGATTCTTTCCCATCTCTGTATTCGCTGTTCCCTCTGCCCAGAAAGCCCTTCCTCCCAGACTTTGCAGGGCTTGCTCCTCACCTCAGTCAGGTCTCTGCTCAAACATCACCTCTTCAGAGAGGACTTTCCCACCACTCGCCCTGTCATCCTGCCACTCTCTATCCCACTTATCCTGGTTACTTTTTTATAGTGCTTATTAATCCTCGACTTCTTAGGATCTATTTATTTGTTTGTGTCTATCTCCCCCGAAAGAATGCAAACATCTGACTGGCAAGGACTTTTCTGCCTTGTTCATCCTAAGTGTCTAGAACAAGTGCTAGAACAATAAACACTTGACGAGGGAATGGATGCATCAACAAGGGTGCAAACTTCAGAAGGAAGTAAGAGATGGGATGCAGGAAGGGAGGTAAGCAGGCAGTGGCTCAGATAAAGAGCGCTATTTAAATAAATTCAAAGCTGTGATGTACTTCCAGGAGCAGAGTAAGCAATAATGACGGGCAGGCACAACAGAAGGCCAGGTAGTGGACTCAGAAGGGCCTCTCAGGCAACCCTGTTGGATAGAAATTCCTGCATTGATGAAAATGTTTATATCTCTGCTGTCCAAAACAGTAGCCACTGGCCACATATGGCTACTGAGCACTTGAAATGGGGCTAGTGGGACTGAGGAACTACATATTAATTGTCTTTAATTTTAATAAACATTAAATAGCCATATGTGGCTGGTGGCTATGGTACTAGACAGTGAAGCTCTAGAACCTGAAGAATCCCTCCCCTCCCCCACTTGTGGTTTCAGGATAATCATGCATAACCCACTGAGTCGTTGAGAGGACTAGCGAAATAAAAAGCCTTGTCAAATGTCTGAAATACCATTGGCTTTCAAAGAATAATAGCTGCTATTATTACACAGAGCTGCAAATTAAAGTATTTTAGGTACATGCCATTTAAATTTGCCTCTAAAGTGCTGAAAACAGACTTTTATTAATTTTTATCATTTTTTTTGTTTGCTAGAGTTAGTGGATAATCAATGTGTGGGTCTATATTTGAGCTCACAAACTAAAAATAGCAAACAACCATTTTGGGATCTCACAACGGCCTTTCGAAGATAGATGACTATTCCAAGTGGATCAGCTTGCTGATACTGACAACGAGCTAATTAGTTTTGACAACAGCTAATTTAGCACTTGCAAAAATTGGATTTGTAACATTACTGTATTATTTTCAAACAGTGTCATCTGCAACCTCCTGAATGATTTTGGATAAGAGTAGTGTTTGCTTTAATACTTATTATTAAAATAAAAGGAAAAGTATTTACTTATTGGAAACACTATGTTGAATTATTTAAGCCCTAAATTGGTTTGGACATAAAATCTTTTTTTTTCTTGTCAGTGGCTCACCATACTTTCTTCCATACTGAATCCAGAAAATAAAATTAACACAGATAGAGAACATAAGCAGACCATTATAACTAACCCTTAGGAATAATCTAATCTAATAATAAAATTACACATTTGTTCAGAATAAGCACGGTGTTTATTTTTAGGCCAAGAGAATTTGTGGTCCACAGCAGCAGAGGAGAATGTGGCATTCCCAGCCGCTGCCTTCATGCAGGTGGAGACTCTGAGACTTGAAAGAGGATGTACGTATTTAAATTAAACACATGCTTAAAGTCATTAAGAAAAGTCGACATTCTTATTAAGGAGACCAATTAATGTGCATCGGTTGGAAGCCACTTTACATTAGTTGAAAAAGTGCCCTAGGAAATAATGTAAATGAGACTGGAGTAGAAAGGGAACGAAAATTCACTTTTCTACAAGGGAGCCTTTCCTAACTGCCCTTCTAGTCTTGCTGTTTGAAATGCAGATCCTTTCTCTTTCTCAGACTGAGTCTGGAGCAGCAGAAGGGGAAGAGGGTGAAGACTCCCCAAACAACTAAGATGAGGAGTTGTGAAGACTTACCAATGGGCATCACCAAGAAAAACGGGAGCCAGCAGAGGACGAAGCAGCCGACCACGATGCCCAGCGTTTTGGCCGCTTTCTTCTCCCGGGAAAACTTGAGGAGCCTCACAGAGAAATGCGTCTTGTTCTTGGCGCTGACCCCGCTGCCTCCTACCGGGGCATTTTTCCGATGAATGCGGAGCGTCACCTGCTCCGAGTCCGACTTGTCAGTCTTGAGGCCGGACTGGAGGCCCCGGCTCTCCCTCTTAGCCACCACGTAGACCCGGCAGTACATGACCAGGATAATGGCCAGCGGCACGTAGAAAGAGCCCAGCGCCGAGAAGAGCACGTAGCCCGGCTCCTCGGTGATCTGGCAGATGGTCTCGTCCTCGGGGGCCGGCTGCCTCCAGCCAAACAGAGGCCCGATGGAGATGACGAGGGAGAGCGCCCAGACGCAGAGCAGAGCCATGAGACCTCTCTTCTGGGTGACGATGGTGGGGTAGCGCAGCGGGTAGCTCACGCCGATGTAGCGGTCAATGGAGATGATGCAGAGTCCCATGATGGACGCGGTGCAGCACAGGACGTCCACCGCCGCCCAGATGTTGCAGAAGACCCTGCCAAAGGCCCAGTAGCCTAGGATCTCGAAGATAGCGGAGAAGGGCAGCACCGTGGAGGTAAGCAGAAGGTCGGCCACCGCCAGGTTGACGATGTAGTAGTGAGTGACCGAGTGCAGATGGCGGTGACAGGCCACGGAGAGGATCACTAGGATGTTCCCCAGTACTCCGAAGATGATGAGGCCCCCCAAGATCACCCCGAGCAGAATGGCCTTGGAAATGTTCACTGGTGCCGGCGGGTGGGTGCAGTTGGAGCTGTCGGAGGCATTTCCAGAAAGAAACACCATGGTCCCAGCCGCGCCGGACGAGGTCCGGCTCTCAAGGGCCACCGGGGGAGCAGGGAGTCAAAAGATCTCGGCTCGGGGGAGCCTTGCCCGCTGGGGTTGGCTGGGGGTGGAAGAGAGCGCGCGGGGGGGAAGCAACCCTGGCCAGCCCTGGACACCGTCAGAAGGCCACGCAAAGGGGCAGGGCATTAAAGGCGACATGGCCAGGGTCGCGCGGGGCTGCCCGCGGATCCTCTCCACCCGCTGCGCCGGCCCCAGGCCCTAACTCCCTCCCTACCCGAGGTTTGGCGCGAAGCTCGAAGAGACGCGGTGCAAAGTGCAATTCCAGAATTACGGTTGTACGCTTTTCTGCACTGTCTGATCCGTCCTGGTTAGAAGTTGCAGCATTCTGCACATAATTTGGAATTCAAAAACCCAGCTTCAGTCTGCTCCCAAACCACAAGCAAGTACCGGTCTGCCGTCGACTCTCAAAGGCGGGCACTTCTGGCATCTGGGCACTTCTCCTGGCCCGCAGTTACCCACCGTGTGGTGGCCCGCGGTGGACCTGTGCTAGATCCAGCTTCTAGGCGTGCAGGCCGAGGGACGTGGATGTGAAATGTTTGCCAAGACTGAGGCGGCTGCGGGGCGTTGTTTGCCCGCGTCCTCCTGAAAGAGCGCAAAGAGAAAGGCGGGTGTAAGCCAGGCGTCCTGGGGAGCGAGGCCGCGCCCGGCTCGACGGGCGGTCGGACCCGGCTGGGAGCCCGCCAACTCTGCGGTCCCGGAGCGGCTGGCCCTGCCGCAGCAGAGGTGGCGCGGGAGGAGACCGCGCGCCGCGTCCCCGCTGCTAGAAACCTGCCCTGGCGCGCTCCGCCGCGCGGCCTCTGGCGGGGTGCAAGATCCGGAGCCAACAAATCCCAAACCGCAGCACCCGGCGGCCGGATTAGAGCGGCCGTACGGCGAAATTAAAACCCCTCAACCCCAGAGGCGCGACTGCGGCTGGCGTGTGTGTCGCACCCAGCCGAGCTGGTGGAAACCGGAGGTTCTACCCGGTTGCCATTTGAACAGGTTGCTTCGCAGTCACCTGGAGGCGGCGGCCTGGGAGAGGGAACCGCTGCGACCCGGGCACCGCGGGGCCAGTGCCGCGCGCACCCTCACGCCGGAGGAATTCACACTTGGGTATGCAGAGCGCGCGGGTCTGTCGACCAGCCAAGCCGGCCTGAGGGCCAGGTCCCGAGCAAAGCCCGGCGGGTCCCGGGGGCTGAACGCGACCTAGGTCGGTCCAGGATTTCTTTCCAAGCCACAGGGTCAGCAGTCCCGGAGGACTTGAGCCTCGAGCCACACCCAGGAGGGCTGCTTGGCTCCAGGGGGAGGAGTTGGGGGGAACCTCGCTGCAGAAGGGGCTTTGCAGGTGGCAGTCACTGCGGATTTTGTAGGCGTAAAAATCATGCCCGCGCGCCGGCGTGGACAGGGGACGCCGCGGATTTTCTGGGCTGGGGGCCACAGTCTGCTTAAGAAACAACCGCAAGCCGACCCCAGGGTCTCAGGCAGGAGTACGAGGAATGGGGACCACTCTTGCCTTCTGAGGACTCTGAGTTGGGCCCTGAGGCGGGACCCCCGGGCAAAGGCTAATGTGAAAATCACAAGTTCAAGAGTTCACAGGTGGTACTAAAAACAAGCAAGCAAGCGCGGAAACCGGTTTTCCCCTACCTCGGGGCGATAAATACGGGGTTACAAACACACTTGTTAACCAGGAGATAACTTCCCAGAATATATAAGGGAACGGGGTGCGGTGGGGATGCTGGTGTCAGAGCAGGTGGAAAAAGAGGGAGGTGCTTGGGGGAATGTGGGGGTTCGGTCTCACCGCGAGGCCGAGGGAGATCTGTCCTCGCCCTCCCGGCCCTGCTGGACGCCCCGCGCCGCGGCACACTCACCTGGAGCGCCGATGCGGAGCCACCCGCCGGCGTACGGCGGCGAGTGGACGGGGTTTCGGTCCCAGGAGCAGCCCTGACGCCTCCTCTCTGGAGGGAGAGGGGACCGTCTCTCCGAGGAACCAATTTCTAGTCCTTTTGCACCCGCTGACTCACCCCTCCACCACAGATGTCTTTAAGCTCCTGGCTTGCTATCGCTTTACCTGGAGATTTTAAAATAAAGAGTGAAAAAAGGATAAGAAAAAAAAATACAGCCAACCAATAACTCCACATTCACCCTTTTAATATTCAGCTCCCCGACATCGGGAAAGAATGGCTAGGAACTTTGCAGCTCTCGCTGACGTCACACGGGCAGTAGCCCCTGCTAGTACCGTAAACTCCTGCTGTTACCGTATTACTCTGTGGCAACAGGCACAGTGCGCACAGCCGTAATTTTTTTTTTTCCACCTGCCTTGAGTGGATTGAGTTCTCGCTTTACTTTAAAAAGGTGAGGGGAGGGATTTATTTGTAGCAAATAACTTCTTTAAATACCCTGATCTTAAAAATAAAGAAAATTTGACACTCGCCAGACAGATATTACCGTGTGTTTGGTGTGTTCAAAGAAATGCCCAATAAAGTTACTTTTCAACAGCTTGATTCGGTTACTTGGACTAGATTCTGTTAAAATCAAGACGCATATTGTTATGCGAAATATGCAGGTAAGTTTAATTATTTGCAGATACAAGTAAAATCTTTAGATACAAATAAAATCAGATAAAGTTCAATTAATCTGATTGTAATAAAATTATAATTCCGGGAAGATAGAGTAAGCATATCTAAACCTTATTAAGTATGATTTACCTCTCATTTCTTTAGACAAATAGATTTAGAAAACATTATAGTCCCACTGTAGTTTCTTACATGGTTTAGTGTTTTTAAAGTGCCACACATTCTTTTCCAGTTTTCGTAAGAAAATGTATCCTTTAAAGGAATGTTGCTTCTCTTTGATTCTTTAATAGTTGCAATATGAAAAGCTAGTTTACTTTTTTTTTTTCTGGTAAATTCCATGTTCTGTTTACCTTGCAACTGAATAAAGCCATATGTGTTTTGGAATATTGGAAAAACACTAGAATTTTCTCCTCGCTGATTCCCACCTCTTAAGTCATCGTCTTTCATCTCTACTGATTCAGACAAAACATACTGTTCTTGAAGTATTTACTAGGTTCCCTTAGACCTAGTAACAAAGATACAACTTTGAGCAGTGGTTTGTGCTTGAATTCCCTTCCCTGAACAAAAGTTTATGAATATTATTACCTTTTCCAAGGGAGATATTTGGGAGGCTCTTTTATAGCAATATATCTCAAAATGCCACAGAGGAATGCCAATGAGAGGATCAGGGAACCCTGCTTCATTGAAGACCTAACATTTAGATCTCCTTTCTTGCACGCAATGCCACTCCACCCCCCACATCTATAGGGGTAGTATCCACACCTATCACATTTGATTAGACCTTAATATTATTTGATTTGACTTTAATATTATATTCAAAAATATACACAATTGGCTTGCTCATCCATAAACTGCAATTTTTGTTGTAGGAGAAACACACTGGGTGAGGAGACAGGAAATCTGGGCTCACTCTTATCACTAAGTCACCTGTTCTCTCTGGGATTCAGTCCCCTCAGGTGGAGAAGGCTAGACTACAGTTCCCTGCGATTCTGACATCTTATCATCAAATATGTATATAATGTCTCTTCTTCGGAAATCCCGTCCACTAGAGGGATATATTATTGTTTAGTTTCATATTCATTAACCTTATACCATGAATGCGAGTTTTCTATAAGATCTGTTCCATGGTAGATAAGGGAAGTTGTGTTATCAGCAAGAAAAGCAACTGAAAATTGCTCAGCTCTGCAAAGTCAAAATGTACAAAGGTCTTTGGAACTCCCAGTCCCTCACCCCCCAACAAAGAAGCATACTCACAATCCCCAACCCCCCACCCCAACTCACTAGCTAGTGCCAAGACTGGGAAGAGCGGCTCCTTATTTCTAGCTTGGCCCCTCTTTGCTACCAGGTAGGTCTTTCGAATCTGCTTTTCAGCTTGTGAACATCAATCTTTGTGAAACTAACTCTCAGAACCATTTTTTCCATGGCTAACCATAGTTTCCACAAACAGGAAACTATCCATCTTTTGGTTACTCTTTAAAGAATGATTGACATGGATGTCCCAGAAGGGGCTGAGTTAAACATGTGGGAGGTGGGGTGAAGAGAGAGTAGGCTATGGAGTCATAAGGATGCTGTCCTTGCCCTGCTGTGAGACCAGGGCAGAACTCAGCTTTTCTAAGTCTTGGTTTCCTATTATTTGAAGGGAGATGATAAAACCCCCCAGGGTTGTTATCAGACTGAGTGAGATTATATCTCATGAAGCTTATCAACCCTCTTGTTATTAATATTATTAATCCTTTCCCTTTCTGCTCATTTTCCATGCTGCTTTAAAGTGAAACACATTTCTAACCCAGGGTGGTCCAAATCCCACATTTAACATGAGCACGATGTATTCAGCGGAAGAAATGTGCACAATGACCTGAGAATTACACCTGGGCCCACTGATGTAATCAGAGTGACCCAACATGGCAGGATGAGAGAGCTGGCCCTGGCCACTGGCTACTCCTCCTTTTCTTCCCACTCCCCCTTGTCCCACATCTTGAAGGGCCATGCAAATATGTGTGAACACTTCAGTCTGTACACCCAGACAGCTGTCCCTTGGCTTTGGGCCTCGGGGTGCACACACCTGTGGTGTGATCTGCCCTTGAGAGGATAGGCCCAGGAAAAAGGCCTAAAGGCCCTGAAGGTGGCTGTGTGGCCATTTGGGGCAGGGGATTCTGGGTCCTTGCATCTAGATGGGAGGATGATCTACAAGAGAGGGCACAGGCTCCAGGCAGGGATATTCCCTTAGTCCTGTGGTCCTGTGGACACTTTGTCCCAAGGAAAAGGCCATGGCCAAGGAGAGTCAGAACTGGGCTCTCTAAAATCCGAAACCTGAGGCAAGGGTCCTCTTGCCTGGACCTAAGGGTGCTACTTTGTAGACTTCAGATGTGGTGGAAGTAGAGAAACCCACTGCAGGGGAGGTTCTGGGAAGGCTCATGGAATGATATTGCTCGATTT